TGTGTGTGTCTGTGCTGTGTCTGTGTGTGGTTGTAATATATATATATATATATTATGTATATATGTATATATGTATATATATATATATATATATATATTGGTATGTATATGTATAGGCTTTAGATATGTGTATATAGGTATTATATTTCTTTGGGCTCTGTGTTCCCTTCTGGGTCTAATTCTTCAGCTGATAGCACATGATTGCTCTCGAACTGCACAGGTACTTAGATATCTACGTGGGTAGGCCGAACGATCCGGACATTGAGCCCCCAAAAGCAATCACACCGATGGAGTGCCGTCTGAGGGATATGACCTATGCAGCGCCTATTTTAGTGGACGTCGAATACGTCCGTGGCAATCAGATTGTGCGCAAATTGGGTGTGGAGATTGGACGCATACCTGTCATGCTGAGGTCAAATAAGTGTCACCTGGCCGGGAAGAGTAACGCCGAGCTGGCGAAGATGGGTATGGCTGTTGTTGGTTGAGTTGCATCATTATATTATTACTATGACAAGGTATGGCTGTTGTTGGTTGAGTTGCATCATTATATTATTACTATGACAAGGCATTAGTCGTTCACGTCACTGTAGTTGTCATGGACGGCAGCACGAGATCACTGATCTGGCTGCCATCGATGACGATTTCACCTGTTCAGTGTTGAAAAGTATCGAATCTGTGTGTACTAATCGTGATGATCGATGGATTCAAATACCTCAGGGGAATGCTACCTCGATCCTGGGAGTTACTTTGTAGTCAATGGATCAGAGAAGGTTATATTGATCCAGGAACAGCTGTCCAAGAATCGAGTGATTGTGGATAAGGATTCAAAGTTTGGCATTACAGCATCAGTCCAAAGGTATGTTCACCTTCCCAAGTCTAATACCAGTCTGTGTCAAATCATCTGCATGCTGCGCCGTACTACGTGTGCATTCTCCCCTTTAGTCAGAATATTAAAGTCACTTGCCGCTTCGTTCATCGCATGGATACCTGGGCACAAGTGTCGCTGGTGTAATTCGAATACTCAACTTGCTAACACACGAGGCGACTACGATTTCTTAAAACTCAACTTGCACACGGAAAATAACCTTTAACCAGTTCAACCGCCGAGAGGAAGAGTAAGACGAACCTGATCACGCGCAAGGGCAAATTCTATCTCAAGCACAACTCTCTGAAGGAGGAGATCAACATAGCTGTGATCATCAAGGGCATGGGTATGTACGTACTTCTCATTAACGTTTAACGGCATGGCCATCGTGCCAACTGGCAAAGCGCCGATGAGCCAACGATTGCCATCGTGCTCGAATTCGACGCTCTTATTTGATGTTACCGTCCGGCTATATTGTATCATATACCTACAATGCACGCAGCCGCGGTTCTGGGTACTTGTGCTGGTTATCTACTCGCCACTCCACTATGATAGCGCATGTTTACTAGTTAGTATAAGAACATTTCCGAGTGGTTTTTCTTGTACTGTTAAAAACTCGCCACTCCACTATGATAGCGCATGTTTACTAGTTAGTATAAGAACATTTCCGAGTGGTTTTTCTGGTACTGTTAAAAACTCGCCACTCCACTATGATAGCGCATGTTTACTAGTTAGTATAAGAACATTTCCTAGTGGTTTTTCTTGTACTGTTAAAAACTCGCCACTCCACTATGATAGCGCATGTTTACTAGTTAGTATAAGAACATTTCCGAGTGGTTTTTCTTGTACTGTTAAAAAGGTTAAAACTTCTATTTTATATATTTTTTGAGGTTGATACACAAGCCATTTTCATCTGCAATCTACTTAAAAGTTATCGGTAAATTTGCTAAGCGATTGAATTGTATGAATTCCGGGAGGAAATAACTCAAACAACTCCCCAACGAACGCAGGTATTGAAAGTGACCAAGAAATCGTGCAATTGGTCGGAAGCGACCACACATTCATTGATGCGTTTGCGCCGACTTTGGAGGAGTGCATGGAGCATCAGGTCTTCTCCAAAGATCAGGTATGCCCCAGTGTGCGCGTCTACTTCTAACCATTTAAGGCTAACGTCGAAGAAGATTCTTGTTTACGGCTCTTTGCTTATATTCTGAAGGTCTATTTTATGTTCTCAGACGTGCCCTTCGCATTCTTGTTTATTGAGTATCTCGATCGCCCGTAGGCCTATAGCATATATATATATATGTATATATATGTGTGTGTGTGTGTATCATGTCTACCCAAGCGTGTTTGAAGATAATGCTATTATATGTTCCGTTTTGTAACCTATAATCCGCATAAGCGTCTTCTTTGATTATTGTTATTGTAATTATATTCGGTTTCACTCACATTTTTTAGGCTTGCCACTTTACTGAGATCAACTCCATGTTGTATTTTCACTACATTGCGTTTTCTTGCGCCCTGTCCATGTACATTCTTCTTATCAATTCCCATATCTGTTTCTACACGCTTGTCTCCTCACACTATCAACATCCATTCCTTTGTATCCGCACCCACAGGCGCTGAACTTCATCGGAGAGAGGATGGTTACGCGTGTACAGGCCCCCTGGATGTTGAAGCAGAGTGGCCAGAAGAAGACCAAAAAGGACGAGGCCGTCGAGCTGCTGCGCGATGTCGTGATTGTGCACGTTCCGGTTGTGGACAAGAACTACCGACCGAAGTGTCTGTACTTGGCTCTTATGGTGCGGAGGATGATCATGGCCATGAACGGTGTTATCAAGGTATTCAGTGCTCGCGCCGTTCGCCCTGTTGAGTGTGTCGGTTTGGACGTCTTCTTGATTGGAGCGGCACGGGTGGAACTCTTGGGTGTTGTGTTTGACTCGGAAAGTATATGTAGGTCCTTTTTCGTGTGATATTGTACCTTATATCATAATACTCTCTACAAACTATTTTATGGATTATGCACATGAGAGTCGTATGTTATACTGAATTGCTTTGTTGCCCGGTTCTTGCTGTTGAGACGCGATGGATATTAATGCTACACTTGGAATTCATTTCAGGTCGATGACAAAGATTACTACGGAAACAAGCGTCTGGAATTGGCCGGTGCCCTACTGGCCTTGCTGTTTGAGGATTCGTTCAAAACACTCAACAGAATTGTGCGAACAGAGGCGGACAAGCAACTAATGAAGCAGAGAGCGGAACCTTTTGATATCCTCAATGTTATCAAGTGCCATTCCAGTCGAACGATTTCGCAAAAGTTTAATCAGTCGCTAGCGAGTGGTAACTGGCGTATTGACCGTTTCAAGGTATGTCGATATGTGATGCTAAAAATCCTGCAACTTCCAAATTCAGATTTTATGAAGTAATGTAGAGATCTCTGAAAGCCATAAACCCCTATATATGCTGATTCCTTGTCCTCAACTGGCTATTTTGATGGCTGATCATATAGCCCCTATATATGCTGATTTCTTGTCCACAACTGACTGTCCCGATAATTGACCGTTTGGTATCAGGTCAATCGGGCGGGTGTTGCACAACCGTTGTCGCGGTTATCGTACATCTCTGGAATGGGAATGATGACGAAGATTAGTTCGCAGTTTGAACAAACTAACAAGGTACTTCAGAGTTCGGCTTTATACCCAATGCCTCGATTCTTTGAAAGTATCTCCATCCATTTTAAATCCATCAGTTATCCGAAAGATTTGCATGTATGGATTGCACGATATAGCATAGTAGCCGATATATATATATATATATATATATATATATATATATATATATATATATATATATATATATATATGTGTGTGTGTGTGTGTGTGTGTGTGTAGT